CGTCAAGCTCGGCTAAGGCAAGTCCGGGCTGTACGAGAGAGGAAGAGGTGAAGGGGTTTTGGACTTGGGGCGTACGAATAAGAGGAGCGGAAGAGGGAGGCTATCCGTCTGGGCATCCTGCATGAGTTGGAGTCGAAGGGAAGGAGGAGCTTCGGTCTCCTTTGCTTGCGGGAGAGTAACCGAACCAGAGAAGAGGAATTCCGCCTGGGTATGCGAACTAGAGAGAGGCCAATAAAAAAAATCCCCCCACCCCTCCCCCCTCTTACGATCTGCCCGCCCAGGAGATAGGAGATCGGGAGCTTCTTCCCTCAGTTCTAGATGCCCAAAAACCGAAATCCCCACTCGCTTATGCTTTTTCAAATTTCCTTATACTTGAAACGGGGGCCTTCCGCTCGTGCTGCTACTTGATTCCGCTAAAAACAGCCTGCCTTCATTCCATAATTGGGGATTCACACGGATGAACCCCCTGGCCAACAACAGGTTTTGAATCTCAAGGCAATCAGAGCCGTAAAATGCAATTACTTGATTTGGAAGCGTATTCAAGTTGATTAGAAAGTCATTAAATTTTAATTGGGGTTAATTTGAACTACCTGAGCTAAATTGATCCCGAATCAGACCCGATTCAAGTCGATTCAATTAATTTGCGTCAATCATATCGATTTGTTAAAATTACGTTCAATTCGGCGCCAAAGTGCATTGAATTGCATTCGACGGGGCTAACGTGGTTGATCGAGCTTAATTAAACTTCGTTGTGTGCTAGCCTGTAAGGTTGTATGCTAGCCTGACACACACATATTGAAAGAAGTGAGATAGTGAGAAAATTAGAATTTCAAAATTTTTCTAAACTAAGCGTACTGTACGATTAGCTATTCGAAAAAATCATTGAAATGACTAATTAGCATAATTAAAACTATTTGAACTCATCATATTGTATGATCAAGCTCGTACAGGACGATTAGTTGAAATTAAGATCTCAGCTGCCAATCATAATTTAGGCAATATTTTAAAATTCAAAATATGTACTAATCAAACCGTACAATAGGTATCGTACTGTACGATATAATCAAATATTGCCTAAATTAATCATGTAATTAGGATTCAAATTTGGATTAATTCATTCAGTCAGATCATATTGTACGATTGAACCAATCATACTATACGACTCGATCTTTGCATGGGATAATATTTATTTGTCACCAATTGTAAGGGACGATAATCTAATTCGATTGAACTAATCGCACTAAATGATGCATTATATCGTATCAGACGATCAGAACAAACACTTGAACTGATTGTACAGCGCCTCGCTCTTTGTACAGTACTAACAAAGATATTTGAACTAATCGTACTAGATGATCTGTGGTCGTGCTGGAGGATATGTGATCGTACAGTACGATTAATGACGATAGAATTCAATTTTAAGGATTTTTTTAAGCCCTTTATTTAAGCTTTCTCATAAGATTTTGTAAAAGTCTTTTTGGCATTCATTGAATTAT